CTTCCTGTATTTACCCATGACTCGATCCGAGAGCACTTTTCCCCCAAATGCCTGAGCTGCCACTTTCTTTAACATCTATGGTGCGGAACCTATCAAAACCCTTTTACTAAAATCTAGAAAATAAATCAAATTTCTTTATCGTGGTAAAACGCTCAAAAGCTTTACTGAAGAAAGTTAAAAAATTAGTTGACAGACCCCTCTTGTGAATCCATGTGAGTATCATTAATCAAGCTATGCTTTTCGAGATGGCTTCTTATAAACTCAGCTATAATTGACTCTAGTAATTTGCCCACAATTGAGGTCAGGGTATTGGGCGGTGACCATCATTTTTGTAAGATACCCTAAGTAAATTATTTCTAAAATAAACTAACAATTTTTTATGAAAATTTGTTAAAAAGTAATAAAACATTCAAATTCATTCAAATTCAAACTTTATTTCACTGATACATTTTTTGTACAGAAATGGGTGAGTTGATAATGAATATATTGAAGTCCTGGGTTTTGCAAGATTTTGTACAAGTTTAAGCCCATCTCTAAAAATACAAGGGGAATAAATAATGTAATAGAACCCCCCTATCCACGATTCCGTTTTTTGCTGTTTCAATTATCTCTGGTTTTTCTCAGCCCAAAAAATTACGGAGGCTCAAATTTCACTTCCATTTTTTTTTCGTCTGTTTTTAATTTTTTTTTCTGTTTGAATAAGAGTGAAAAAAAAAGGTCATAAAAGTTTATTAAGATAGTCAACAAACAATGAATCAAAAAAAAATTATTTTTTTTTTTTTTTTTTTTTATTATCACACTGGCGATTCCCCCAAGGAAGGGGCCGAAAAAAAAAAAAAAAACTTTTACCCTCATTCACTCCACACTGTCTTGCCCAAAGGGGCTTACACTCAGTTTTTAACTGCAACTTAACACCCCTCCTTTAAGTGAGGCACTGTCTTCCCACTCCCCGGACTCAAGTCCGGCCTGCCCGTTTTCCTGAACCCCTTCATAAATGTTACTTTGTCACCTCCAAAGCACATCAAGTATTAAAAACCATTTGTCCCCCTTTTCCCCCTTCAAATACGCTCACGCATGCCTGTGGAAGCCAAGCCCCTCGCACACAAAAAACCCCCTTTACCCCTCCCCCCAACCTTTCCCAGGCCGACCCCCACCCCCCCTTCCCTTCCCTACGCTGATACACTCTTGAAGTATTCTGTTTCGCTCCATTTTTCTCATGTCCGAACCACCCCAAACCCTTTTTCAGCCTCTGGACAACAGTTTTGGTAATCCGCACCTTCCCAACTTCCAAACACGAATTTCGCTTAATTTAACCACCATTGCTCTCAGACAGACATCTCCACTGCCCCCCAGTTTCCTCGCGCAACATTCATCACCCCTGCTTTACCCCATATAAGAGCGTTGGTAAAAAATTACCTCATACATTCCCCTCTTTGCCCCCAAAGGGCAAAGTTCTTTGTTCCCCCAGACTCCTAATGCACCCTCATCTTTTTTCCCCTAATTTATGATTTTACCTTTTTTCAAGCCCATCCGTGACACGTCACTCCCAAAATCTGAATACTTCACCTTCCATACTCTCTCCCTCCCAAACTGATATTCAATCTTTTTATCACCTAATCTTTTTGTTTTCCCTCATAACCCCTTTCTCTTTCCTGTATTCACCTTTAAATTTTTTCTTTTGCCCCCCTACCAAATTATCCCCCAATTCTGCAAACTTCTCTTTGAAAAAATTCCCAAGAGCACAGGTCTCACAAAGAGCAGCTGTGACAACTCCCACTTTGTATGTGATTCTTTATTTTTTAAACCCTCCACGCCTCTTGCCAAGCCCCTCGCATTTACTTCTCTTACAACCCCATCTTAAATATATTAAACAACCCGGTGACATCCACATCCTTGTCTAAGGCCTACTTTTACTGGGAAATAATTTCCCTTTTTCCTACATACTCTAACTTGAGCCTCACTATCCTCGTAAAAACTTTCACTGCTTTCAGAACCTACCTCCTACACCATACACTTGCAACATCTGCCAAAAATATATATACAATATATATACTGAAAACTGGATTTGGCAGAGTAAACACTGGAGATGATGATGATGATGATTACTGATGATGATGGATGATTACTGATGATGATAACTGATATGAGGATTGATGTGATGATCCTTCAAAGGCATCCCAAGAAACGGTACATTACATAGATGTAATCCTATGCCTGCATGCCAACTATCACCACCAGTCAATGACGTTTTAATCCCTTAAATGGGAATGAAAGTAAACTCTTTTGGATTGAAGTGTGGATAGCATTTAAAACAATGTTGTCTCTAGAGAACTACTAAAACATGGGAAAAGATAATAAAGATGGATTCAAATAGCAGCCACACACATTAACGTGTTTGGACTGCATCATGCTAGGAAACAAGAGCATGCCTGCTACCCTCCCAAGAACTAATTATACACAATCCTCATCTCGATTACTTACTAAACTCAGTGCTCTGGAAAAAAACAGCCTGATGACAAAAATAATACCAAAACAGGTTATGTGAGAGCTTCATTAACTCAGGTCGTGGGAGAGCAAGAAGTGCTGATTTAAGAGGGTCTCAGAATTAATAACTATGCTTCCTCATTACATTACTGAATGATCTGTCATACTTGTTGCTCTCAAGCTTGTGGAGACAAACAACCCTAGGGATTTTAATTGTAACTGACTGCCCTCCTTCGTTACTTTTCTAAACGCCTGAGATTTGAATGTACAATGCTTTTGAATGACATAGCACAGATCTAAAAAATTATTAAGAATGGGGTTTAAAGTTAAATTTTATGGGATTCCTTTTTAAATAGGGGCCTTCAGGGACCATGACAAAATTTATGGATTAGCTAAACTAGCATTAAATAAGATGTCTAGTATTATTATATTTTTTAAATACAATTTATAAAAAAAACTGTCAGAAAAAAACTAGCAAATGAGTTTAAAGCAGAACATTCTAGAAAGGAACTAGCAGATCAATTGTCTATAATGAAATATATTAAGTAAAACATGTCTATGGACAAAATAACAAAGCCAATAAACTACAAGATGTTTTTACCTGGAGTTTACCTGGAGAGGGGTTCCGGGGGTCAATGCCCCGCGGCCGTCTGCGACCAGGCCTCCTGGTGGATCAGAGCCGATCAACCAGGCTGTTACTGCTGGCTGCACGCAATCCAACGTACGAGCCACAGCCCGGCTGGTCAGGTACCCATTTTTTTGGTGCTTGTCCAGTGCCAGCTTGAAGACTGCCAGGGGTCTATTGGTAATCCCCCTTATGTATACTGGGAGGCAGTTGAACAGTCTCAGGGCCCTGACTAGTGAAATTGTGTTTGGTTCCAGTCACGTATTGTGCCTTTTTATCCTTCCTTATGGTTAATATGGAGACAAAATGTAAAGTGTGAATAGTGGTCATTGTCACAGGGTGTGCACTGTGCTACCATGGAGTAGCACTGTGCTACCATGAAGTAGCACTGTGCTACCATGGAGTAGCACTGTGCTACCATGGAGTAGCACAGTGCTACCATGGAGTAGCACTGTGCTACCATGGAGTAGCACAGTGCTACATGGAGTAGCACAGTGCTACCATGGAGTAGCACAGTGCTACCATGGAGTAGCACTGCACTGCCATGGAGTAGCACTGTGCTACCATGGAGTAGCACTGTGCTACCATGGAGTAGCACAGTGCTACCATGGAGTAGCACAGTGCTACCATGGAGTAGCACTGAGTTGCCATGGAGTGGGCACAGTGCTACTCCATGGAGTAGCACAGTGCTACCATGGGAAGTAGCACTGTGCTACCATGGAGTAGCACAGTGCTACCATGGAGTAGCACTGCACTGGCATGGAGTAGCACTGTGCTACCATGGAGTAGCACAGTGGACTTTGCTGTGCCATCTCAAAACATGCCACAACACTTCCTAAGAGGGGACAGAAAAATTAGTTTCCCTTTATAATTCACGATTATATTTTTAAGATGTATATTGTAAGTGTGCAGCAGTCACGTTGCACACCTAGAATATACACCTCTGGTCCAAACATTCAACCTGACACACAACACCAACTTACACGATATGACATACACTTCATTGTTAATGATTTAATATCTGAAACGTTGCCACTGTATCCACATTTTGGATTACTAAATTCGAAACATTTTGTAAATTTTGTTTCAAATCATGGTACAAAATATGAAATAATTAGAAAGCCCATAGAATGCACAGCATTTTGGGCAAACAGGACATTAGCAAGGAAATAGTTAAGATAAGGTTTGTTGGGGTTTTTAACCAGGAGTGTTAGCCACCCAGGATAACCCAAGTCAGTCAGTGTGTCATCGAGGATCTGTCTGTCTTACTTCCATTGTGGTCCTTCAATCTTGTCCCCCAGGATGCACCCACACAGTCAACTAACACCCAGGTACCTACTTAATTGTACTTGTGTACCTGCACCTAAATAAACTTACTTACGGTGTCCTGTAGCTCGGTTAGTAGTGACACCTTGATTCACACATTAACGTCCGTGGCAAGGTTTACAGCCGTGGCGAGGTTTACAGCCGTGGCGAGGGTCTACAGCCGTGGCGAGGTGGAGGTTTACAGCCGTGGCGAGGTTTACAGCCGTGGCAAGGTTTACAGCCGTGGCAAGGTTTACAGCCGTGGCAAGGTTTACAGCCGTGGCAAGGTTTACAGCCGTGGCAAGGTTTTACAGCCGTGGCAAGGTTTACAGCCGTGGCAAGGTTTACAGCCGTGGCAAGGTTTACAGCCGTGGCAAGGTTTACAGCCGTGGCGAGGAGTGAACCGTGGACACTCTGGGTGAGCACTGTGTCACCAACCGTTATTTTACACCTTGTAATACATACTGTACAAACTATATACATCATGAAATAAGTACTCATTTCTTGTGGAAACTATTATTTTGGGAGATTATTAATATAGACAGAACTAAGCGCTAAACTCACAAGGGTTTAGTCAAACACTAACTTGCTTTTAGTTCACTTGTATGACGTTCTTCAGAGCCTTGCAAATCAACTATACACTAACATATATACACCTTTTTTGGGTTATCCTAGGTAATTTACATATATGTTACTATGTATAATAATTGAACTTATATGTACCTGTACCAAAATAAACTTACTTAACACCTCAACTCAAAAATTAAAATTTTAACTTCTTCTTGTTGGGGTTATTAAAGGCCACCAGTAGTGACGCTTTATTGTGCTCTAGTTCTTTCCTTCAGTCGGGAAGAAGATACTATTAAGTTAATCTGGGCAGGAATTAGGAAGAAAACAATGTGTTTCAGGAAGGAGCGACAAAAATATTAAAACTGTCATGTTGGATCATCACCGTCTTTCCCGAGTCTTAACACTAGTAGAGGCACAAGTCTTACTCCTTCAGTGAACATGTTAGTGCTACACACACAAATTGACTGCCCCGCCACCGCCACCCTAACCCCCCGTCACCACCCCAACCCCCTCCGCCCCCTCCACCACCCCACCTCCGGCCCCCTCCACCCCCTCACCACCGCCCCCTACACAACCCTCACCTCCCGCCCCCTCCACCACCCCCATCCCGCCCCCCTCCACCACCCCCATCCCCGCCCCCTCCACCACCCCCACTTCCGCCAGGCTGAGGGATGATTACCTCAAACTCCTCTTCCTACACCTTTCTGATTTGTATTGGACTGATGGAGCCACTGTGTGGCGAAACGTTTCTTCAATAAAGATTCCCATATGTTGCATAAGAGTCTCAATCTTCAACTTGTCAGTTTTAAACCATTCATTTATATCACTCACTAGAAATACTTGTGCTTGGGGATCTATCACGACCATAAACCAATAATACCTCAACACAAAAGCTGCAGAGTGGATGATCATAATTCTGCCCCGGCAACACACCCCTCCCACTCTTCAGAGTTTGAACTTACATAAAATACAATATATCCACATTTATTATCTGTGCCCTATATATATAAACAAAACATTAAACTCCATTATAAACCCATCTCTCAAACGTCACCCTTGATAGCTATAACAGAACACACGGCACCAAAACTTTCCTCAACAACTTCTGTCCTCCTCACACCTATCAAAATTTTAGTAATGCACATAAAGGGCCCAGTACTAGAATTCATTGCCAAAACCAGCAAAAGATACCCAGAATGTGCACCTCGTGTCTTATTTCATCTGCCGTATCAAATTCAAATTCAAATTCAAAGTTTATTCACTAATCAAGGATTACATGTTGATTTTACAGAAATTTGGTTATTGTGTGGTTTAACAATTGTTGAAATAGTGATTACAGCTAGAGTAACACCAGAACGCTTAGCATGCTAGCATTTCGGGCAGACATAGTTTATATCTTAATTAGTAAAATATAACAAATTAATGAGGTAAGTTGTATTAATGGCTAATGAACTAAATACAGAGTTTGTGAGTTTTGGCACAGTACATAGTTTCACGTATTGGAGTAACACCAGGATTCATTATTTTAACGATTGAGATTAATATATCTGTTTATGGTCAGCATGAGTGAGTGAGTGTAATGAGGAACCATCAGTGGTAATATCATCTTGACAATTGTCAGACACAGCAACATTCTGGAACCTTGATTCTGAGGACATGTTACAAAAACTTCACGACAACGACAACTACAACTACAAACTAACCCATCGTCTTTGGGAAGGACCAACCTTCCACTGGAATCCCACTACCATGACTATGCCCTCGTCTGCTACACGTCCATTATCCACCTGTACGTTAGTATATAAGCGTCAGCACCGTAGCTTCTGCATCTCTTGACCCTGCTGAAGCGGTAACATAATTTTCAAAGACATATGGGAAAACACCTCTTCCACCCACATCCCACCAAGGCCAAGCAGTGCCATAGCACATACAATTAGACATAGAGAGATGGGTGATCCAACCATTAAGATTTAACCATCCTGATCCAATCATAAACCTAAACACCCTATCTTCCACGCATTCCTCTAAACTCCTCCTTTTACGTAAATGATGTACCACATCCAAACTAGACACACCTTCCAAAAAAAGCTTCCAGGTGGCTTCTGGTCTATCACACATTCAGTCCTTCGTCCACCTTCCATCCACTTTCTGTTACTTTTCCGCTATCACAGACCTCTTTCATGCTCTCTTGCATCTGGCTATGTCCCTCCGCATTCTTAAATCATGCAACTGCATTCTATACCAAAACCTGGAAAAGACTTGACTGACCCCAAGAACTATAGACCTATTAGCCTCCTTGAAATTTGGGTAAAACCTTTATGGAACGACTTGTAAATATGCCGAACTCATGACCACCTAGAGACAAATAACTTGCTACTGAAAGACAATTCGGTTTCCCAGACAACAACGATCTACCCAAGAGGTTTTGAATATATCCTGAACTATGTACGTATACAATAAAGCCCAGAACTGTACCTCCGCCTTGTAGCCAACGAATGTAGAGAAAGCATTTGACACTGTTTGGCAATGAAGGATTAAAGTTTATTCTCCTATAAGGATTACAATGCTGATTTACAAAATTTGTTATTGTTTGCGGTACATGACGTACAATAGACGATTACAGAGTGTACCACAAGAACCTTAGCAATGGTCTAGGCATTTCGGGCATACTTAGTTTTATTCTTAATTGAGTAAAAATATTACAAATTATGAGGATAAGTTATGGTATTATGGCTAAGTGACTAAATACTAGTTTATGGTTTTAGCAATGTGAATGCAATTGTTTTGGCACAGTATCATAGTTTTCAGTATTGGAGTATCACAGGATTCATTATTTATAAGACTGCGATTAATATCATCTGTTTAGGTCAAATGAGTCAGTCCAGTGTAAGTGTGAACTCACCAGGATGGTATCGTTAGTTAGTTGACGGGGTGTATCAGGGAGATAAGATGTTTTCTAATGGTAGTTTTGAAGGTGATGAATGTGTCTGCAGTTCTAGAGTTCTCAGTAGGGTATTCCAGATTTTAGGGCCTTTGACATACATTGAATTTTTGTAAAGGTTTAGTCGGACACGGGGAATGTCGTAGAGATGTTTGTGTCTGGTGTTATGCCTGTGGGTTCTGTCACAACTATCAAGAAAGCGTTTTAGGTCAAGGTTGATATTAGAGTTTAAGGCCCTGTAGATATAGATTGCACAGTAGTAAGTGTGGATGTACTGAACTGGGAGTAAGTTTTAGATCTTGAAGAGTGGGGGGGGTGTGCTGCCAGGGATGGATTTAGTGATTATTCTTACTGCAGCTTTTTGTTGGGTTATTATTGGCTTTAGGTGTGTTGTGCTGCAGTTGATCCCCAAGCACAAATAGCATAGGTGAGGTATGGATAAATAAGTGAGTGGTATAGTGTGAGAAGGGCATTTTGCAGCACGTAGTATCGTATCTTGGAGAGGATCCCAACCGTTTTGGATACTTTTTTTGCTATATAGCTGGATATGGGTGCTGAAATTCAGGTTGTTGTCAAGGTATAAGCCTAGGAATTTCCCCCCATTATTTCTGGTAATTAGAGTGTTGTCAATCTTAATGTTAATTTGTGCATCTCCTGCTCTGCTACCAAACATAATATAGTAAGTTTTGTCAGTGTTAAGCGTAAGTTTATTGGCTGTCATCCAAGTCGATATTTTTAATCAGCTCCTCATTCACAATGGTGTTGAGGGTGGCAAGATTAGGGTGAGAGATGACATAAGTCGTGTCATCAGCAAAGAGAATATTAAAGATATTAAACTAAAGTGTGTGTGTGTGTGTGTGTGTGTGTGTGTGTGTGTGTGTGTGTGTGTGTGTGTGTTGTGTGTGTGTGACTCAACAATCAATATTTGCACCAATAACTCACTACAGTTGTGACCGGGTGTGGAAGTGTGAATTGCTCATTACTCTATAATTTGTTCATGATTGTAGCCATGTATAAACGTAAGTTACTATTCTACAGAATTCTTACCTTTGTAACTTGTGAGCTCATTACCTTGTACCTAGTTCAGCCATCACAACTTTGGGGGCCCAGTCCCTGGACCCATTACGTACCTCTGTAATCTGTAAATACCTTTGTAACTTGTCATGATTGTGACCAGACTTACCTGGAGTTCATTACCTTTGTAAATTGTGAGTTCATTACCTTTGTAAATTGTGAGTTCATTACCTTTGTAAATTGTGAGTTCATTACCTCTGTAACTTGCTCAGCTATCAAAACTTTGGAGTCCAGTCCCTGGACCAATTATGTACCTCTGTAATCTTTTGACTACCGCCCACAGGATGGGTATGGGGTGCATAATAAACATATTAAACTAACTTGCACGCAGAACACAAAGAGAGGTCGACAGGATTACCGCCTGGGAATTATTATGGCGCATCAAAACCAACCCAAATAAGTCAAAAATCACTTACTTCCATAGAATGCGTGATGTCCCACTCCTGTCGAACTCAAAACAAGCACCTCCAGTACCATGTCGGAGGATCTCACCCATGTCGGAGGATCTCACCCATGTCGGAGGATCTCACCCATGTCGGAGGATCTCACCTTCAAGGACCATAACATTGTATCAATCGCATCTGCTAGAAAAATGACAGGATGGATAATGAGAGCCTTCAAAACTAGGGAGGCCAAGCCCATGATGACACTCTTCAGGTCACTTGTTCTATCTAGGCTGGAATATTGCTGCACACTAACAGCACCTTTCAAGGCAGGTGAAATTGCCGACCTAGAAAATATACAGAGAACTTTCACGGCGCGCATAACGGAGATAAAACACCTCAATTATTGGGAGCGCTTGAGGTTCCTAAACCTGTATTCCCTGGAACGCAGGAGGGAGAGATACATGATTATATACACGTGGAAAATCCTAGAGGGACTAGTACCGAACTTGCACACGAAAATCACTCACTACGAAAGCAAAAGACTTGGCAGACGATGCACCATCCCCCCAATGAAAAGCAGGGGTGTCACTAGCACGTTAAGAGACCATACAATAAGTGTCAGGGGCCCGAGACT